CCAGATCGACAAGGTTCTAAACAGCAACAACTGTAACACCGGTGTTTCGAAGACCTTCCAACGTTCACCTAATGGTTTCATCAACGACGAAGTTGAATAGGAGGCCAGTCGTCCCTAATAATCGAACACCACATCATTTGTGCGGATGTGTCACTTGGAGGACACGGACCAAACAAAGGCATGCCCTGATTGGTCACAATGCCAACCAATCCGGATCGAGCGTCCCTCACCCGACGCTTCTTGCCCCCTTACGGAGATTCTGGCACGACCTTGTGGAAAGCTCTGTGACTACTCTATGACTACAGTTGTAATAATTTTCCTTTTTCTCCAAAAAGCGCTGCGTAGAGCTCCCGCGCCATTTGATATACCATAGTGGGCGGAGCAAGGAGCCAAGGGACCCATACAGAGTTGCAGGATCGCCCACCAAGTCAATACAACTGCCTACAACATGAACCCGCGATGTCGATTTCGGCAGAGCGACTCCGAGTAATTTTACAGCAACCACAGAAACAGCTGGAAGAGGCTCAAATGAGGTCCGTTGAATCTCTGATGCGCAGTATGTCGGTGAATGCGACAAAAACGGTTGGGCCTTCAGAGATGCTGCTGCCATCTCTATTACTGAACACAATTTCGATGCTGAACCTGGACGAACTTTCGGAATTTGGTTCAAGAATTATGAAGTCATGTCCCAAACCGACTTTGCTCAGCTTGCTGATTCACGGAAATTTCGAATGTAGCTGCGGGATCTGGGGTCAGCTGGACAAAGTCGGTTCACAAATTTCTCACGCCCCAAACTCCCTCGTGACCTTTGTTTCGCAGTTGCTGTCACAATTCTGGCCCAAAGTTCTTTGTCCAATATTCGTTATCAGTGCCTCAAGATTACAAAAAGGGATACTGAGAATTTCATCACCTATGCAGATGTGGTCAGCAGAAAATGTGATCGCCTTTAGCTCAGTTCCATGATCGAGGATCAATTCAATTGTCTCATCTTCGTGGCTGGCTTTCAATTGCCGCACAATGCAGATATTTGCACACGGCCACTGAATCGAATAAACGGGATCCGGAGTTGACACTTCAGAAGCTTACCACCGAGTGCTGGCATCTTATCAATCCCACTTCTGATGCTGCAATGATGGAACATTCCAAATTCTCCCAGCCTGATATGGTAGGCAAAGTAACTTACAAAATAATGTCAAAATCCAAACAAACTCCAACAAAACCGCCCACACCCTGTTGGTATTGTGAAGAATGGCACTATTCACGCCAGTATCCCTACCGGAACCACAGCTGCAACAAGTGCAGTCGAAAGGGACACAAAGAAGAATGTGGCAGAGACAACTTCAGGAGCTCACGAAAGCACCAACACGACAAAAGGACGTAGGCAGAAGTCATGACCGCCACATTCAGAATGAAGTCAACCGGCAGAGGTAAAGACGTCAAATTATGTTTCAATGGCACACCAGTTACCCTCTCATTGGATGCGGGTCTTGAAGTCAATGTGATTTCAAAACGAACCAGGGATGTAATTGGAAGACCACAAGTGGAACCCCAAAGGTGCAGAGATTGTAGTGCATCCGGCAGAAAACACAAACTGAACGGGAAGTTCAACTGTTCCCTAACGTTCAAGGCTATTTAAATCAAGGGGACTCGCTACGTAAGGAACTATACAGGCCCTGATTTCTAGGGACTGCATTGGATTACCGAGCATCAATAGTTCGATTAACATCTCAGTGCCGTTTGTGACAAAACGAATGCAACTAGCTCCGATAGGTTCAAGAGAATATCACGTCCTGACGATTTTGTGGTCACCACAGTTACAGCCAAACCGGAGACCAGATGGAACATACGTCACGCAATGGCCATTCGACTCCTGGCGTCCGGCATCGGTAGCCCTCGTGCTTCAGTACAATTTGGTAAACCCTGCCAACAGCCCGCAACGGTTTGCCCGCGGTCTGAATCCCTTAGTTTACAGTCGCAGGTTCATGCGGATCTTTCTATTGCTATCCGTAAAATCAAGAAAGGGGGCCGGCAGAAGGGACGCAACAACAGTCACACAGAGACCACCCACTAATTCGAGGATATGGGGACTGCTCTCCATGATGGACGCAGGGTCGAATATGGTAAACACGAGGCGCAAATAGGATCGCAAGCACGGCCGTCAGAGAAACCAACTTTAGACAACAGTCTGCGGCTCCGTGAGGAGGACACGTCGCATGGGACATTGGACAGCCGCGAAATACCTCCAAACAGGAGGGTACCAAATCCCAGATCAGCATGCTCGCAGCACCCGCACCGAAATGCAACAGTAACTCCATGAGTCGTCACAGTGGAGTCCAAAGCAGCAGTCAGTTGAGCAGCCTTCTAAAGGGGAGGTATTCGGAGGCCAGTCGTCCCTAATAATCGAACACCACATCATTTGTGCGGATGTGTCACTTGGAGGACACGGACCAAACAAAGGCATGCCCTGATTGGTCACAATGCCAACCAATCCGGATCGAGCGTCCCTCACCCGACGCTTCTTGCCCCCTTACGGAGATTCTGGCACGACCTTGTGGAAAGCTCTGTGACTACTCTATGACTACAGTTGTAATAATTTTCCTTTTTCTCCAAAAAGCGCTGCGTAGAGCTCCCGCGCCATTTGATATACCATAGTGGGCGGAGCAAGGAGCCAAGGGACCCATACAGAGTTGCACGAATGTACGTCAAGCCACAACAAACGGATAGAGTGGACATCCTTGACTTGCACCACTTTTGTAGGAAAGCTTTTGAAGAGCTCACCATACACCCAAACGTCCAGAATTGTGTGAATGTAAGGACCGTAGTACGTACACAAATTTATGGGACATTCCCTGTTGAGCAAGTCTAGTTAATAGCAACGACCGATCGACAGTATCGAACGTATCCTTGAAGTCAAGAAGCAACAAGATTGTAGGCCGTCGGTACAGGTGAAGCCGCTCCACCATCTGACGGAGTGCGGGGGCGTGGCCAACGCAGCCTCCACTCTGTCGGAACCCCGCTTGGTGTTCACGGGTCAATAGTTCGCGTGCCACCGTAAGACGACGAAGAATCGGTGATGCGAAGAACCTTACTGCACCCGGGTTCAAACTAATGTTTTTGGTCAGTACATCGACTAAGTACCTCTTTGAAAGTACGCAATATTATCGATGCACCCCCAGTTATCTGGAATGGTCTTTCTCTTAGATAGACACACACAGACCATACAGGCACTGTCTGTGAAATTCACCACCATCACCACCACCCTTAAACAGAACAAATGGAAGCTCGTCAAGCCAAGAAGCAGGATGACGCTTGAGTAGAGATATACACTTTGACAGCTCTGAGACTAAGGGGCATCATGTTCACGGTCCACCTTCCCGTTGATGGGCTGCAGTTCGGACCGATGAAAGAATAAAATGTCGTCGTTCAGATATAACACCCTTTCGGTGTCTAGCTGCCATTCCACCTCAAGGGAGCACGAAGGCTGGGATGCTGACAGCTTGTCCAAACCTAGACAGGAGAAGTCGAGATGTAGAGGTCGGGTTCAAACCACGGACCTTCTGGTCAGTAAATTCACGCTCTAAACACTGAGTCATCTCGTCCGGATCTGATGTAGCAGGTGACAAACTGAATTGTTGATCCAACTAATTGTGCTCAGCGGTCCAACCGTTCCGCTTCGTTAGATATTGGAGAGCCATTCTGGTCCCTGACAGTTTTGCTGGCAAGAGGCTTTCGAGGGCCAGTCGGACGGATCAGGCGGGCGTTTCCAGTATTCTGGCCTCTTCCATGTTTTCGGCATTTCGGATTCAACAGGTTTCTCTCTATTCGAAGAGACTATTATAACATAACAAACACAATATTAATTGTTCAACAGTAACATCTTTTAAGTGCATAGCTGCTACGTCACCCGGAGGAAGCACGTGCGGTACTGAGAGTTATAGGACGGACGGTATACTGGGATGGATTATTAAAGTGGAACTCAAATAAAATGAACGAACTAGATGTACCTTTCAACGCTATCGGGGCACTAGTTAAAAATTGTCTGGTAATGTCACACTGCTGAGGATTTCTCTTATTAGCAGGACGGTATACTGGGATGGATTATTAAAGTGGAACTCAAATAAAATGAACGAACTAGATGTACCTTTCAACGCTATCGGGAAAGGCACTAGTTACCATGCCAACAATCCTTATGCAGTCGAACAATATTCAGAACTCTGAGTCGAAGATATTGATTTCAAATACTTCTTACTACCTTGTGCCATTATCATTATCGACAGCTTGACACCGGTGTTCAAGATTGATGCTTAGCTGCCGTAAAAGCATGATTTATTTGAAAGCCTTACTGTAAAGAAAGGAGCAAAGGTGGCGGGGAAGGGACTTAGTACTAACTTTTCCACAATCATTCCGGGGTGCCTACACCACGAGACACTCACTCAGGCAATCTGGATAGAAACTAACAACAAAAACGCCACTGACATCGGTTGGCAGCCATATCTTGTAATGTCTTCAACCAGGCACAGTGAGGATCACGCGGTCCCCATCCTGGAAGACGAGTAGCACCAACAGCACCCAAGCGTTTCGTGATCTCCTTCATACTCC